CTTGAGGTCTTGTCCGCCCGAAACCCTAAACCCTAAACCCTAGACCCTAAACCCTTAACCCTAAACCTCAAACCCTAAACCCTAAACCCTCAACCGTGGCTATGGGGAGGGGTTCATTGCACTTCTAGACCGGGAAGGCTCAAAGCCTTACTCCCCAAAAACCCTGCTTGAAGGATCATGGGACTTAGTAAGTAGGGTTACAACTAAGGTAACTCTAATTATAACCCCCAATTAGGGGACTTATAACTATACTTACTAAGTCCCATGATCCTTTAGGTAAACCTACCGCCCGCCACCCTGGAGCATCTTCGGCCCTGAATCTTGTGTAAACCCGCCTGGTGGCCGCAAAGACCTACCTTGTTCGGGTTCCTTATAATTAATAGGGTTTAGGGTTTAGGGTTTAGGATAACTTATATAAATGTTTCTATATGTAGTTCCTTAACTAGGTAGTTCTTTTGGGCCACAGGTAAGCCCTAAACCCTCGAAGGTGCGGGTCTACCGTCACGCCGTCGCCAAGCTCCGCAGCGCTAGCCTCCGACAGTCCATGGAGGCCCGACAACGCCCTACAACGCTTCTTGTTGCGATGAGGGGGTGTAGGGTTTTGAGGGTTTAAGGGTTTTCTTTTAGAGTTTACAGTAGGAGTTGCGATAAGGAGTTAGAATTCCCGAAAGAGCGCCGACCCATTTTTGGTTTCCCAGTTTCCCCGGAATACAGGGGCGCGAAACCCTAAACCCTAAACCCTGAACCCTAAACCCTAAACCCTAAACCCTAAACCCTAAACGGAGGCTGGATCTGAATGTCGTTCATCTTGGGGGGATGCAAGCGCTCGGTGGAAGCGCAGCCGCCGACACACCGCGCACACAGTGTTTGCAGACCCGAAGCAACCCCAAAGCCAGAAAACCCTAAACTCCCTCCTCAAGCAACTTGGGCAGTTCTTTAAATTAGGGTCCCATTTGGGGTCCTGTTTATAAGGGTGCCGTACTATATTGGGGACCCAAAAAGGGACCCTAATTTAGAAAGCTACCCACTTTCCCCTGACCAGGACAGCACGCACGAGAGCGTCATGGACGTGGTGCAGGACCCTGAGCCTCCAATGGCCGCCCCAGCCCGAAGCTTTAAACTCCCCACTTTGAGCGCAGACGAAGACGTCGTCTATGGTACTACAGTTGCTATAGGCTATAGGTCATAGGGCTTTTATCAGGGTTTCGTAGGGGTAGTAATATAAAGGATCACTCTATCCGGACACTGGGACTTTTGGGTACATGGTTTACAATAGCATTTCTAGAGAGCTCTACAAAACCACAAACCCAAAACCGTATCATTAAGGCACTCATGTCGGCTTCTTAAGGCCTCGGTATTAAGGGTGTCTGTGTCGCGAAATATCCTTCAACCCTGAGCCAAACCCCAAACCCTAAAACCCACCCTTGGGGCCTTAATAATTACCGACTGTATTTTGGGGGTTCCTTATTATATTTATAGTATAATGGGCCCCAAAACCCTATTCTTATTATTAAGGCCCTTATATTAGCATTATAATGCTAAACCTCCTCCCAGGAGATCGTTTGGGCTCACAAGCCTCTCACCAGTGCCGGCCGCTGCCCAAGATGTTCCTTACAGGGTTCCCCCTTAATGGCTCCGAGAAGTACCCGATGCAGATCCGAACGGGCCCGATGTCAGTTCTAGGCCCTGGGTGATTCCGTGGGGGGTTTGGTCAGTGATCTTGATGTCTCTCTCCTTGCATTGGTGTACATTATGCACACCGCTCGAGCCAGGTGGTGACTCAAACTTGTCATCGCTGGAAGCTTGGCTGCCTTGGAAGGGCTGTTTTGTTGCTCATGACTTGCGCATGCTTTGTGACAACGCCCCAAGCGTCGTATGCAGCTTAGCACCTCAGTGCACGGAGCTTTTCGGCCCGGAGACCCCGCGACTTGTTGAGTCGCCCCGCAAACTCCAAGCTCGAGGGTTTGGAGCCCTAAACCCTAAACTCGAAACCCTAAACCCTAAACCCTGCACCCTAGACCCTAAACCCTAAACCCTAAACCCTAAGCCCTAAACCCTAAACCCTGCACCCTGGACCCTAAACCCCTAAACCCTCCTGAATCCTGACCCGTCAGCCCTAACCCCGAAGCCTACAAGCAAAGCTCTAAAGCATCAATCCTTGGCCCCCAGCGGGTTTTCGGGGCCGGGCCTTTAGGTCAGCTGCCCCTCCCTACAGGTAGTAGGAGTCTGGCGGAATTTCGGGTGTAGGGATCTGTAGGCTTGTTAGTTGCACAGGTTTTTCGAAGGGGACCCTAAACCCTAAACCCTAAACCCTAAACACTAAACCCTAAAGTAGGTTTGCATAGGGTTTTACATGCTTTGGGTTTCTGGGGGTTGAGGCTCTCTTGGCGGGAGTTGCAGTGGTTGCGGCACCGGTGGTGATATGTAGTTGTCGTAGCAGCCGCAGTAGTAGCAGTAGTAGTAGTAGTAGTAGTAGTAGTAGTAGTAGAGGAGGAGGCAGAGGAGGAGGAGTGACCGCCCCAAACAAAAAAAAAAAGGCCGAGAACCTGAAGATGGTGATGGGGATCCCCAGACCCCAAACCCTAAACCCTAAACCCCGAACCCTGAAACTCTAAACCCCCCCCGCAAAAAACCATAAACCCTAAACCCTGAACCTTGAACCCTAAACCCTGAACCTTTATAAAAAAAAAAACAGGATTTCACTGACCTCGTGGCCGCCGCCATGCCGTGCCCGGGCTCAATAGGCTGAGCTTTTTCGTGCCTGTCAGTTAGGGCTTTAGGGCTTTAGGGTTTAGGGCTTTACGGTTTGGGGTTTAGGGCTTTGAGGCTCAGGGTTCAGGGTTTAGGGTTTAGGGCTTAGGGTTGAGGGCTTTAGTTAGTGCTTTAGGGTTTAGGGTTTAGGGCTCGTAGATTATAAGCGGCGTCTGTGTGCTGAGTAGTCAGACTAGATGTTTTTTTTTTCAAGCCTCGTAAGACCGTAGTTGAAGCAACCCTCTGTAAGACCCTTCATGAATCCTCTGTAAATCTCTTGTACAACACCCTAAACTTCTAAACCCCATATAAAGTCTAAAGCCAGCTAAACCCTAAACCCTTAACCCTAAACCCTAAACCCTAAACCCTAAACCCTAAAACCCTTGCAAGATCCTGGCAAGCCCAGGACGGAATTGCGCCCGAAAAATGGCGCCACACTGCCGCCAAAGCCACCGAAAAAGGCTGCCCGCAGTCACAAGGACCTCCTGCTTTTCAATTCCTAATTAGGTCTTGGGTTGTTATATTGTACATACATATTATATATATATATAATATATATATATATATATATATATATATATATATATATATAGATATGTATATCTTTATATGTATATACATACATGTGTATGTCTGTATGTATGTATGTATGTATGTATGTATGT